CCTGGGGGGGATATGCGGAGGGCCCAAAACCCCGTGGGGGGGGATCTAGGGGTTCCCCAAAACTCCAGTGGATCTGGGGGGGGTCCCCAAGCTCTGTGGGAGGATCTGGGGGGTCCCAAAACCCCTGAGGGGCATCTGGGGGGGTCCACAAAACCCAGGGGGATCTGAGGGCCCCCAAAATCCTGGGGGAGGGGTCTCCAAAACCCTGGGGGGGCATCTCAGGGTCCCCAAACCCCGCGGGGGGAACGGGGGTGCCCCCAGCCCCCCCTGAGCCCCCCAAGCCCCCGCAGAGCCCGAGGAGCCCCCCGAGAAGGAGGAGGCGCCGCGGGAGCGCCGCGGGCACCGGCGCGAGGAGCTGGCACCGTACCCCAAGGGCAAGAAAGGTCCGGGGGGTCCCCGGGATTTGGGGGGTCCCCCGGGATTTCAGGGGGTTTCCAGGGGTGTTCCTGGGATTTTGGGGGGCTCTGGGTGGGTTTCCCTGGGATTTTGGGGGGCTCTGGGTGGGATTCCCCCAGAATTTCGGGGGTCTCAGAGTGTTCCAGGGGTCCCCTGGGATTCTGGGGGGCTCTGAGCACTTCAGGGGGGATTCCCTCAGGATTTTGGGGGTCTCTGGGTATTTTAGGCAGGGGTCCCTGGGATTTTGGGGGTCTCCAGGCGGGTTCCCCCAGGATTTCGGGGGTCTCTGAGTGTTCCAGGGGTCCCCTGGGATTTTGGGGGGCTCCAGGGGGGTTCCCCCGGGATTTTGGGGGGCTCCAGGGGGGGGTCCCCCAGGATTTCAGGGGGTTCTGGTGGTCCCCTAAGGATTTTGGGGGGCTCCAGGTGTTCCAGGGGGGGTCCCCAGCATTTTTGGAGAGTTCCAGATGGGGTCCCCCAGGATTTCAGGGGGTTCCCTGGGGATTTTGGGGGGCTCTGAGCATTCTGGATGGGTCTGTCAGGATTTAGGGGGGCTCTGGGGATTTGGGGGGCTTTTAACATTCTGGGGAGGGGTCCTCGGGACTTTAGGGGGCTCCGAGGTGGGGTCCTCCAAGATTTTGGGGTGCTCTGAGCATTCTGGGGGGAATTCCCCTGAGATTTTGGGGCCTCCAAGAGGGGATCCCCAGGATTTTGGGGAGGAATTCCCCCAGGATTTTGGGGGCTCTGGAAGGTGTCCCTGGGATTTTGGGGGGCTCTGGGGGGGTCCCTGGGATTTTGGGGGCTCTGAGTGTTCCAGGGGGGAATTTCTCTGGGATTTTGGGGGGTTCCGGGGAGGAATTCCCCCAGGATTTTAGGGTCTCCAAGAGGGGGGTCCCCGGGATTTTGGGGGGCTCTGGGGGAGGATTCCCCTGGTATTTGGGGGGCTCCGAGGTGGGGTCCTCCAGGATTTTGGGGTGCTCTCAGCATTCTGGGGGAAATTGCCCTGGGATTTGGAGGGGCTCCAGGGGGGGATTCCCCTGGGATTTTGGGGGCTCTGAGGAGGGTCCCTGGGATTTTGGGGGCTCTGAGCGATCCAGGGGGAAATTTCCCCGGGATTTTGGGGGCTTCAAGAGGGAATCCCCAGGATTTAGGGGATTTCTGGGGGGAATTCCCCCAGGATTTTGGGGGCTCTGAGTGTTCCAGGGGGCATTCCTCAGAATTTTGGGGAGCACCAGGCAGGATTCCCCCAGGATTTTGGGGTCTCTGAGGGGGGATCCCCGGGATTTCAGGGGGCGCCGGGGGGAATTCCCCCAGGATTTTTGGGGCTCCAAGGGGGGATTCCCCTGGGATTTCAGGGGCTCGAGGGGGGGTCCCCAGGATTTCAGGGGACTCCGAGGGGGGATCCCCAGAATTTCAGGGGCTCTGAGGGGGGATCCCCGGGATTTTTGGGGCTCCAAGGGGGGATCCCCGGGATTTAGGGGATTTCTGGGGGGAATTCTCCCAGGATTTGGGGGGCTCTGAGTGTTCCAGGGGGTATTCCTCAGGATTTTGGGGGACTCCGGGCGGGATTCCCCTGGGATTTTGGGGTCTCCAAGAGGGGATCTCCAGGATTTCAGGGTGTTCCAGGGGGAATTCCCCCAGGATTTCAGGGGACTCCGAGGGGGGACCAGAATTTCAGGGGCTCTGAGGGGGGATCCCCGGGATTTTTGGGGCTCCAAGGGGGGATCCCCGGGATTTAGGGGATTTCTGGGGGGAATTCTCCCAGGATTTGGGGGGCTCTGAGTGCTCCAAGGGGGATTCCTCAGGATTTCAGGGTGTTCCGGGCGGGATTCCCCCAGGATTTCAGGGGACTCCGAGGGGGGATTCCCCCAGGATTTCAGGGGACTCCGAGGGGGTCCCCTATATTTCGGGGGTCCCCGGGGGTGCAGCCCCCACCGGGCCGTGCTGACCCCCCCGTGCCCCCCAGGCGGCCGCAAGGATGAGGAGCTGGACCCGATGGACCCCAGCGCCTACTCGGACGCGCCCCGGTACGGGCCGGGCTAACGGCGATGGGGGGTGGGGGGGGGTTATTCTGGGGGTGCCCCGGGTTTTGGGGGACCCCCCGTGACCCCCCCGCGGTGCCGTGGCAGGGGCACGTGGTCCACGGGGCTCCCCAAGCGCAACGAGGCCAAGACGGGCGCGGACACGACGGCGGCCGGGCCCCTGTTCCAGCAGCGGCCGTACCCCAGCCCCGGCGCCGTGCTGCGCGCCAACGCCGAGGCCTCGCGCGGCAAGGACTGAGCCCGGGGGCACCCCGAAACTGGTACCCTGGAACGGCACCCCGAAACCGCACCCCGGAACGGGCACCCTGGAACGGCACCCCGAAACCGCACCCCGAAACGGATACCCTGAAACGGCACCTCGAAATGGGCACCCTGAAACACCACCCGCGCCCCTGGGGCACCCTGAAACGGGCACCCCAAAACAGCACCCCGAAATGGGCATCCTGAAACCGGACCCCGAAACGGCACCTTGAAATGGGCACCCCGAAACGGCACCCCAAAACGGGCACCCCAAAACACCACCCGTGCCCCCGGGGCGCCCCAAAACGGGAACCCCGAAATGGCACCCGTGCCCCCAGGGCTGCCCCGAAACGGGAACCCCCAAATGGGAACCCCAAAACACCATCGGGCCCGCTGGGGACCCACAAAGCTCCGGGGATCTCCAAAATTGGGCACCCCAAAACATCACCAGCAGCTCCAGGAACCCACAAAGCTGCGGGGATCCCAAAAGGTCCGGGGACACCAAAACGGGCACCCCGAAATGGGAACCCCAAAACGGGCACCCCAAAACTTCTCCAGGCCTGTTGGGGACCCACAAAGCTCCAGGGACCCCAAAAATGGGCACCCCAAAACAGCACCGGGCCCGCTGGGGACCCACAAAGCTCGGGGATGTCCAAAATTGGGCACCCCAAAACATCACCGGCAGCTCCAGGAACCCACAAAGCTCCGGGGATCCCAAAAGCTCCGGGGATCTCCAAAATCAGGTGCCCCAAAACTTCACCAGCCCCTCCAGGAACCCACAAAGCTCTGGGAATCCCCAAACAGGGCACCCCAAAACTTCTCCAGGCCTCTGGGGACCCCCAAAGCTCGGGGACGCTCTCAGCCCCAAACCCCTCACACCCCAAGGAGCCCCCGAGTTCTGGGGTTCCACAAAACCTGGGGGGAATTTCAACTACATTAGGGGTCCTCCAGATCCCCCGGAGCACCCCCAAAACCTCAGCAGCTCCTCCAAGTCACCCAGAGGATCCCCAAAACACCAGGGGGTCACCCAAGTCCCTCAGGAAACCCCAATGCACCCGAGGTTCCCCCAAAGCTCCAGGGAGCCCCAAAATCAGAGGACCCCCAAAATCGGGGACCTCAAAAGCGAGGGACCCCCAAAATTGGGAAACCCCAAATCTGGGGCACCCCAAAATCCTCCCCAGCCCCTCCCGGAACCCCCAATGCACCCGGGGTCCTCCCAAGCTCAGGAGGATCCCCTCAAACCCCAGGACCCCCCCATGAATCAGGGGTTCCCCAAAACCCCCCCCAGCACCCCAGAAAACCAGGGGGATCCCCCAAATCCCACTCCAAAGCCGGGGTCCCCCAAAACCCAGGGATGCCCCAAATCCCCTGGGATGCCCCCAAACCCCTCCCAGGACCTCTCACAGACCCCGAGGGGCCCCCAAAGCTTGGGGTCCCCCCCAGACCCCCAAACCTGGAGTACCTCCAAAGTCTGGGGTCCCCCCAGCCCCCAAGGGTTCCCCTAAAGTTCAGGGTCCCCCCCAAATCCCTCCCAGTGCCTCCCAGCGCTCCCAGTGTCCTCCTGCCCCACTCCCAGTCCCTCCCAGTCCCTCTTCCAGTGCCCCAGTCCCTCTCCTGGTCCCTCCCAGTGCCCCCAGTCCCTCCCAGTCCCTCTCCCAGTCCCCCCAGTTCCCCCCAGTCCCTCTCCCAGTCCCTCTCCCAGTCCCCCCAGTCCCTCTCCCAGTCCCCCCAGTACCTGCAGGGGGTAGGTGCGGTCGGGGTCGAAGGCGCTCAGGTCCCCGCAGGCCACGAAGGGGACGATGACACGGGAGGGGCCCGAGAGCCGGGACAGGGCCAGCCCTGGGGGCACCCCGAGCCCCATGGGCACCCCGAATCCAACTGGGGCACCCCAAACCCCAGGGGCACCCCGAATCCAACTGGGGCACCCCGAACCCCAGGGGCACCCCAAATCCAACTGGGCACCCCGAATCCAACTGGGGCACCCCGAACCCCAGGGGCACCCCAAATCCAACTGGGCACCCCAAATCCCCAGGGCACTCCAAATCCTCAGGGGTCCCAATTCCACACCCCCCCCCAAAACGGCAAGGACCCCAGAATCCCCCCAAGGACCCCTCAGAATGTCCCCAGACATCTCCCAATGCCCCCCAGACACCCCAAAATCCCACCAGGGACCCCAAAACCTCCCCAGGGACCCCCAAAATCCCCCCAGCCCTCACCCGCCTCGGGCTCCAGCAGGGGGTTCTCCATGCTGGGCACGAAGCCCTCGGGGGGGCTGTAGCCACGGCACACCACGAAAGCCTCTGCCAAAAGAGGGGGTCGGGGGGGGTCCCCCAAACTCAGGGGGGTCTCCCCGCAGCCGAGGGGGGTCCCCAGGAGCCGGGGGGGGGGTCGCACCGATGCTGGAGTTGCGGCTGCTGCGGGGCTTGGCGCAGGTGACGTCGGGGAAGAAGAGGCGCAGTTGGGAGTAGAGCAGGGTCACGTCCTTGCCCCGGAAAATCTGGGGGGGCAGGAGGGTCAGCACCCCCTTTTTGGGGCCACGGGGGGGGGGGGGCAACACCCCCTTTTGGGGATGGGGGGGCTCCAGACCCCCCTCATTTGGGGGGGATCCCCTCAGGGACTCACCTTGGCCACAAAGGTGCCGCCTTTCTTCAGGACGTGGGTGGTGATGTTCAGGGCCTGGAGTAGGGGAGACCCCCGAAATGCGGTTGGGAGGGTCTGGGGGAGGGTCCCCAGGAGGTTTTGGGGAGGGTTTTGGGGGGCTGAACCCCCACACTTACTGCCAGCAGCAGCTGGGCCTGGATGTACTCGTCGAGGTCGTGCAGCCCCGTTACTGTGGGGGCAGTTCAGGGGTCAGAGGATTTTGGGGGGGGGGTTTAGGGGGACTTTTTGGGGGTTCAGGTGCCCCCCCGGGCCCAGCCCCCCCAAACTCACCGTCAGGGGCCCCGTCACAGACCACCAGGTCGGCCGGGTGCCCCTCGAAGTGGCGCCGGATCTCCTGGGCCGTGGAGGCCTGGGGGGCAGAGGGGGCAGGAACGGGGGCAGGGGGTTAATGGGGCATTTGGCAGTGCTGGGAGAATAGTTGGACTCGATGATCTTAGAGGGCTTTTCCAACCTAAACGATTCCATGATTCTATGATTCTAATTAGTCTCATTTGCTGACACACAAGCCTTTAATTGCAAGTTGAATAATTAGACATATCTGCATATGCAAATGAATAGGGTTATACTATGTCACTCAACATGATTTCTCTGGAGACAAATAGCTCTCTATATTTCAGGAGAGAATATGATATATTAATTTACTTAGACAAATAACTTTATTTAGAACGAGCCCCTCTCATGTTTGTTTATATACAGCAATAAGAGAAGAAATAGAAGAGATTTTATGTGGAAGGAAACAGCTGGAAGATACTAATTTATGGGTGGGGGGGAATCCTCTCAAACCGTAATGCTTCTGTGCAGTGAGAGGTGGGAGCAGGGAACCTCCTCTGGGCAGGAACCTGCTCTTGGGGTGTCGGGAACTGCAGCACGGGGCTGTGGCCTCTCTGGGACCACGGCTCCCATCCCGGCCATCCCAACCTGCTTCCATCTTCCGGGCATCTCTGCATGCTCCTCCTGCGCGCTCGGAGAGCCGCTGGCAGCGCTCGGCCCGTTGTTCCCCATCCAGATGGCCGCTGCAGCGCAGCCACGGCCGGCGATCGGGGATGCTCAGCCCTCCTCCGCCTGCATGCGGGCCGAATCCTAATCAGGCAGCGGGGAGGGGGGCTGCCGGTGCCGGGCACCCCGCTTGGGGCGAGGGAACGGGCCAGCACTCGCCGGAGCCCGCGGGACAATTCCCACCGCGCTCGCATCGCGCCGTGCGGGCCAGGACACGGCAGGAAGGGAAATCCCAGGCTGGTCATTTGGGGGGCTTGGGAAAACCGCACGGGGGAAGGGGGGGAGCAGCAGCTGCGAGCAGAGCACGTGGGAGCCGTGATGGCATTTGGAAGCAGGGATATTTGGAGGCGGTGATGTTGGGAGTGGGGATGTTGGGAAGCAGGGCGTGTTTGGAAGAGGGGATGTTCCGAAGCGGGGATGTTTCCATGCCTGCCGGCATTGCCCCTGTCCGGCCCGGTGTTAAGGTAATACCCAACACGGAATGGAAATCTGCTCCGCGCCCCGGCCGCTTCCCGAGTAACGCGGAGCCGGACCGGGGACGAGGATGGCGCTGCGCGCCCGCCCCTGCGCTGCTCGCTCGGGACTGCCCCGGCGGCTGTGCTGCAGCGGGACGGCCCCACGGAGCCGGGCTGGGACCCTCCAGCCCCTCCGGTCCCCCTGTGTCCCCCTGGGCCCCCCCAGGCCGCCCCCAGACCCCCAGCCAGACCTCCCTGAGCGCTCCCCAGTCCCAAACTGGGATTCCCAGTCCTCCCAGTTCACCCAGCTGGCAGTGCCAGTTCAGTCGGGTCCCAAAGGAGGATTCCCAGTGCCCCCAGCTGGGACCCCCAGTGCTCAGCCTGGGACCCCCAAACCAGCACCCCCAGTCTGGGGCTCCCAGTCCCTCCCCAGTGCTCCCAGTGCCCCCATTTCCCCCAGTGCCCCCCAGTGCTCCCAGTGCTCCCCAGTGCCCCCAGTCCCACCTGAGGTGCCGGCTTAGCACCTGGCTCCAGCTCCCGGGGGCAGCACAAAGATCCACGGCCCGCTGGACCCCTGGGAGACCAGTGAGACCAGTGAGACCAGTTACACCAGTTACACAGTGATCCTAGTTACACCAGTGATCCCAGTTACACCAGTTACACAGTGATCCTAGTTACACCAGTGATCCCAGTTACACCAGTTACACAGTGATCCCAGTTACACAGTGATCCCAGTTACACCAGTACTCCCACACCCCTGGGACCCCCGACACCAGTGACCCCAGTGTCCCCTAGTACTCCAGTACTCCCAGTGTTCCCAGTTCCCCCCAGTTCTCCCTGTTCCCCCAGTACACCCAGTCCCCACAGTCTCCTCAGTTCCTCCAGCACTCCCAGTACCCCCCACTCTCCCCAGTCCCCCCATTGCCCCCAGTGCCCTACCCCTAGAAATGAGGCAGAGTCCGTGCAGATCG